GAGCCCAACCACAATGATATATACTTTCTGTACTCTGTTCTATATGTCCCCCTTTAGATAACCATATACTTCCTTTATGGTTACAAGGTTTATCTAGGGCCAGGGAAGGGATGAAAAAACCCAGGCAGGGTCATAGGTGGTTATCTGGGCCCTGGTGTTCTTTGTCTTTGGAGAAGCATTCCAGGGCTAAGTAAGGACTGCAAAATTAACTTTTTACAACCCCTCCGGGATGTTTCTCAAAACACATTTTGAGGCTTGCACTAATACTAGAATTACTCTATTTAAAATGATATGCTGAGTCGCCATCCCCTACACTAGTTGACCAGAAACAACAATTTCATAACGTACTCACCATTCCAATGGACGTCTTTGGCTTGCAGGATGGGAGGGTGGAATGGAAGGTGGCTATCGTTTGGAAGGAGAGTCCCCTTTCACAGGATCATCAGGAATCTGGCTCTCTGGTGTCCTTTCTCCCCTTGGAGAATCTGTAGCCCACTAGGACCTGCTTCTGGCCCACAAGGTCGCAACCTTTTCAGAACTAAAAACTGATCTAACATTGTCTGTTTCTGTCTTTTCTTTAACACTGTTCTGTTATGACTGCTTTCTTTATTTTCCCTTTATTCTTTAGCATTTTTTCTAGCTTTTGGGGGGCCTTTTTTTTTGTACTGGGAATCAAACTCAGGACTTCTGCTTGCCAGGCAGGCGCTGTGCCACTGAGCTATATCCCCAGTCCCCTGTGGGGACATTTTGATAGCAGTAATCATAGCAACTATATAAAGCACTGAGTGAAATCACATCCACAAACATGCCCATCTAGGCTCAGACATTGCTTATGTATGCTTACATACACTTTTCTGGCATCACAAGTTTTTGTTTACAACCACACAAGCAGCTGGCATTTGGGTCATAACTCAAGACTCTGGTCAAAAGTTAAACCTAAAATTTAGGGCTGGAGATGTAGCTCAGTGGTAGAGCATTTGCCCAGCATGCTCAAGGCTCAAGGCCTGGAGTTGCATCCTCAGTTCCAACAACAAAAAAAGTCAGTAAATAGTTGGGTGTCACTTTCACCAGGTGTGATGGTGCTGAAACTGAGGCAGGAGGCTCACAAGTTGAGGCCAGCCTCAACTACACAGACAAATCCTGTCTCAAAAAAATAAGGGTTCAGCATGGTGACACACCCTGGGAAACTGAGGCTGGAGGATTACAAGTCTGAACCAGCCTAGGCATCTTAGTGAGTTAGTGATACCCTGTCTCAAAATTTTAAAAGGGCTGGGGATGTAGCTCAGTGGAAAGGCCCTGAATTCATTCCCGATCTATAAATATATGAAGCTCAACACAAAGGATCGTAAATTACAGGTAAATTTTATTTTTGTAAATATTTTTGCAGGTAAATTTTAAAATTACTCAATTAATTGAAAATCAAAATAAAATTGACAGTATCTAATAAAGGAGGTAATTTAGAGAAAAGTGGCACTTTTATATGGGCAGCATTTCTGGTGGGTGGCCTGGCACAAAATATCAAAACTATCTGTGCACACCTGTAATCCTAGCACTATGGAGGCTGAGACAAGAGGATCAGCAAGAGTTCAAAGCCAGCCTGGGCTACCTGGCAAGACCCTACCTCAAAAAACAAAAACAAACAAACAAAAAAACCACTGAAACCTAAGTTATTAAGTCCCTTTGATCCATCCATGCTTCTTCTGGGAATTTATGTTAAGGAACAATCAGAGATTTGCACCAAAGTCTAGGTGCAGGGGTCTTTTTTGCCAAGGTACTACAGTGTCCAACAAACTCATAAATTTGCAAGATATTTGCAAAACAAAATCCCATGCACTGGATCTTTGTATGTTCATTAAAAATCCTAATGTGAAGGCAGGATGTATAGCTCAGTGATAAGAGCATTTACCTGTTTATAATTTAGAAATATATAGAGTGAGAAGTAAATTCACCACCGGGATGCTCATGGTCCCTCCTATGTGTGATTACATCTGTGATTTTAGTGATTTTTATTTTTTCTTAATTTTCTGCATTTCCCACAATAATTGCCTGTTTTTAATCAGAAAAGTGATGTATTTATATATTTCAAGTTAACAGTCATGGCTGGCAAAGATAAAATGAAACAATCATCTTTACACATGGGTAGCAAAAACATAAATTGTTATCTAGATTGAACATTCTTAATTTGAAAATGTGAAATTTGCCATGTTCCAAAACCTGCGGGCCAGAAATATAGCTCGGTGGAATCACACCTGCCTGGCAAGCACAAGGCCCCAAGTTCGATTCCCGCTACCAAAAAAAGAAATCTGAAAGTTTGAGTGCTGACATGATACCAGCAGTAGAAAATTCCACCTGATCACACGGGATGGGTCACAGTCAAAATGTAGGCGCATTTAAAGTGTATATAAAATTATCATTAGGAAAAAATAAAATAAAATAACCATCAGACTGTATGTATAAAAGTATATATGAAACATAAATGGATTTTATATTTAGACTTGAGCCCCATCCCCAAAATATCACATTGTGTATATGCAAATATTTCAAAATCCTCAAAATTCCCACAATCATGGACACTTCTGGTGTCAGCATCTTGAATAAAGTATACACAACCTATAATAGCTTTTGCAAGCAATATGGAAGGTTTTATTAAGAGCCTTAAAGTATTTTGGCCAGCTGGGGATTTAGCTCAGCAGCACAGCACCTGCCTGGCAAGCACAAGATCGTGAGTTCGATTCCCATTACCCGAAAAAAAGCAAAAAAAAAAAAAAGAAAGAAAAGTAAGACTGTCATCTCCATGGAGGAGACCCGGGTAATCATGACTATAGAGGAAAAAGAAAACAGCTTGTTGCTAGACACAGGTGCAAGCCTCTCGGTCCTTCTTTTCGATCCTGGCCTTCATTCCAACTGTCACACCTCAGTGAAAGGAGTCACTGATGAGGAGGTAATACGCTATTTTTCACAACTCTTAAGCTGTAAGTACTTGTTAGATCTTTCTTGTGTATCTCTGTCTTCCTGAGAAACCACTTCTAAGATACCACCATGTATTACAGCAGCCATTGGTATTTTCCTCCTAATCTGTCCATAACTCTGTAATATTTGTATTGTTCCTATGCCATTTCATAAATGGATGTATGTTTCTTATTATGTGTTTCCTACAGCAACCATTGAGAATAGTCAATGATTATTCAGTTGGTCACTCATGTATAGCTCTATTTTCTTTAGAAATCACTTTGAAGATACCAAAGTATAGTACAACAACTATTGATAATCTCCTACCATTTTTGTCAGTAACTCACTATTATTTGTATATTTATTTTCCTGAGAAACTATCTTGTAGATAACAATATGTAAAACAACAACCATTGATAATTTCCTACCACTTTGTCTAATTTGGTAAACCGCCCCCCCCATTACTATGTTATCCTTCTTTTACTCTTTAAAATAGATTTAAAAAAAAAAAATCAAAGGAGGGCCGGGGAGATAGCTCAGTGGCACAAGCGCCTGCCTGGCAAGCACAAGGTCTTGGGTTCGATTCCGGATACCAAAAAAAAAGTGAAAACCAAAAAAAAAAAAAAAGATATTTTGGCCAGAGTGGAGGAGAATGATTCTTGGAAGCCCCGGTGCCAATATAGCCATTTTGCAGGTCAAAGAATGCAGAAGACCAGAGGAAAGAGACAAGAATACCCAGGGTCAGCCCCAAAGGTCCAGGTGGATTGGAGGCCTAGGGTGGAGGGGCTCACCTTTCCAGTCCTTTGGTCTGGGGCAGTTAGATCTGCAGATGTGCAGGAGCCCCAAGGACATGATGTGGATAGAGGTGTGGATCCTGTTGCTGACATTCTTGGGGTAGTGCTGACGGAAGTGGCTTCCGGGGGCATGCAGCCATTTCTTGGAGAAGACCATGACCAGCAGCAGGACAAAGGCCACAAGGCTGAGCTCCGAGACCAGCACCTGCACTATCCAGCGGGGGCTGTGTGTAATTCTCCATCGCAAGGGCAATACGGAGCTCCGGCGCAGGCTCACGGGGTGCCAGTGACTGCTGAGCGAAGAGACAGAGGACTGCACCTCTCCTTTTGCTCCAGCTTCCCCACGCCCATCCTGCCTCTCAGCCCTCCCCTTCCTTCCCAGGCCTCAGGTGTTGGTCCCTTTCTCCTTCTGACCCCCGGAGTACCCCTTGCCTCCATGGGCAGCACCCTCCACTCCCCTTCCCTTGCTGAGCTCACCTGTCATTCATCTCCTGAATACTTTCATCAGACCGAGAAGATTCCATCATAGCCCTGAAGTCTGGGAAAGAACGTGGGGGATCTTATCAGACTGCTGAGCTTCAGAGCTAAGGGAAAACTGGCCCCCAAGCCCATTCAGCAGGACAGGGCCCAACTGCCAGAGAATGTTCCTGAGGGGTAGTCAGGTGGGGGAGGGGCTCAGGAAAGGGAGAGAGAATATGTCCCCAGGACCCTCCTCCTCACTGTTTCTTGACATGTCTTCCAAAGATGTCAGGGGCTGGGGATTTAGCTCAGTGGCACAGCGCCTGCCTGGCAAGCGCAAGGTCGGGAGTTCAATTCCCGGTACCGGAAAAAAACCAAAACACAAAAAACAAAACAAAAAACACAAAGATGTCATCAACCTTCCCACTACCTTCCTCAGCTTCTTTCCCCCTTGCTCATCTCTACTCACTTCTGGTCAACAGTCACCAATCCCTTCCCCCTTCCGCCCCCTGTCCCACTTGGTTATTTGGGACGTAGTCTCACTATGTAGTCCAGGCTGGCTTCAAACTCACAGCAGTCCTCCTGCCTCAGCATCCCAAGTGCAGGGATTACAGGCATGCACCCCACACCTAGCTTCCCTCTTCTCTTTACCCTTCTTCTTCCTTTCTATTTTTTGAGCATCAGAAAAAGAAGGATGTAGGTTGAAGTGTCACACAGGCTGAGATGATTTTCCTAATCTTAAAGTATAAGAAAATAAATGAGTCGCCCATGCCAAAACAGTCACAGCACGAGTGGACCTCAGGAACCTTCGGAATCAGGGATCCACATCCCGAGAAGGCTTTCCTCTGGAGTGGCTCACTCCTCCGTGCACACAGTGGGATGAGGCCCTCACACCCACAGCTGTACCTCTGACACCTGTGGCCACCATGGTGGGGACTTCTTAGTCCAGATATTTTCTAGCCCTGCCAGAGACAAGTGTCAACCTTAGAACAACCAGCAGTGGCCAAGGTCCCAGGCCAAGAGGCTGAACCCTGAAGATGGTAGGGTAGGGATAGTGCGGAAGAGGGAGTGCCGGGCCTTTTAGGAAGGTCATTCACACAGAGCCAGAGATCGTCAGGATTGTGTTTCCTTTCTAATCTTTCCTGGAGCTTCTAAGGGTTTCTAATAATAGCAAGCAGTTCTTGCAGCAACATGGAAGAATCCTGTAAATACGACGTTTCTTGGAGGATGTAACTCCCGGAAGATTACACTACAAAGATGGTACCATTTTTTGTGGAGTTCATAAACAAGAGAAACAAAGCATGCTAAAACACATGTTCATTTATGATTGCATGATACTTTTTCTAAAAACAATGAAGTAATAAACACAAACTGTTATATGGTGGCCACTTCTTAAGTGAGCAAAAGGAGTGGGGCAGGGAGGATTACACGGCACATACATGTTGTGATTACAGTCTAGTTCCTGGATTTGGATATTATAATATCCAATATTATAATATCCAATATAATTTGGATATTATAATCATGTATATGTAACATAGATTTCATGTAATCCCCAAAATGCATCAAATACAGTTTTTCAAGATGCAATCAAAAATAGTTCAAGAAAGGAAATGTAATCTTAGTGATTATGAGCTCAGCAAAGGAAAGTATTTATACAGTCACAATATACAAGGTAAACAGTGTGCACTGGATTTCAGCTCAGTGTCAACAGATGGACAAAGCACGGAAGACCTGATCGTAGCTGTAAAAGCAAGCACAGCAGCTTTGACGTTGCCCAAACAAAACCCTAGAAGAGGGAAACCGGAAAGTGGAAGGAAGGGAAGAGAGCTGAGACGGGGCAGCAGCCCTCGACTAGTGGCAGGTGGGGAAGTGGTAGATAAATTCCCTAGCTTCCTGCTCCTAGGTTGGGACAACTCTGAGCATGTCTGTCTTAGTTACTTTTCTCTTTGCTGGGACAAAATACCTGACACCCAGAGTTAAAGGAGGAAAGGTTTATTTAGCTCACAGTTTGTAGAGGTTTCAGTCCATTATTGGCTGGCTCCAAGGCAGGGTGAGAGGGCAACAGTTCATGGTAGCAAAAGACAGTAAAAATGAGAGAGAGAGGACAAGGAGACGGTGGTCAGAGAGCTGGAGATGCCCCCACCCCAGAATGAAAGAAATCCCCCAGAGTAGGGACGAGACAAAGAGAGACAAGCCTTCGCAGCTCAGCCAGGGAGGCAGCAGGTGCCCAGGAAGAATGGCTGTGGTGCACCCAGGCAGAGGGGAGCTTGGGCCCTTTCCCAGAACAGTCTCATGGCCTGGACATAACAAGGAGGCAGCAAAGGCCACAGATCCAAAGGGACCCAGGGACAGAGGCAGTGGATATGTTAATCTAATCTGGAAAGAGAGTTGACCAGAGCCTGGAGACAATGACACCCGGCACCCAGACTCTAGGGAGTGGGAGCCCGGAGTAAGCTGGGTTTCTCCTAGACTCAGGATGGAATGAGGCTTCTAATTCAAAATTTAAGGTAAATGATTAAAAATGAGGATTGTGTGATGTCTTGCATACCTAAATTTGTGGTTTGAGATTAAATCTTTTGCAAAGCATAAAAAAGCTTCTTATAGAGAACATGAACAGGGATGCAGCCAGCTTAAAAAAAGAATCTCTCTCTCCCTCCCTCCACCTGTTCCCCCTCTCCCTTCCCCCCTTTTCCTCTCCCCCTCTCCTAGTCTTGCTATGTTGCCCAAGCTGGTCTCCAACTCCAGGGTTCAAGTGATCCTCCTGCTCCAGACTCCTGAGAGTCTAGGACTACAGACACCTGCTATCACAGCTTCCCTTTTCATGTTACATTAGACCCAGATCTTTGCATGTACTTGGCAAGTATTATACCACTGAGCTACATTCCCCAGGCCCATTTTGTTTGTTTTTAATTTTGAGACAGTATCTCTCTAAATTGTCCATGCTGGCCTCAAACTTGAGATCCTCCTGCCTCAGCCTCCCAAAGGGCTGAGGCTATTGGCATGCACCACTATAGCTAGCTTCCATTTCTTTTTTTTTTTTTTTTTTTTTTTTTTTTTTTTTTTTTTTTTTTTTTTTTGCCAGTACTGGGAATTGAACTCATGGCTTTCACATTAAAGTTTTGTTTTTGTTTTTGTTGGTTTAAGACAGGGTCTCACTATGTAGTTCAGCCTGGGTTTGAACTCATGACAATTTTCCTGCCTCAGCCTGCTGAGTGCTGGGATGATAAGTGTGCACTACCACACCTGGCTTACATTAAGTTATATCCCTAGTCCTTTTTCCAAAAAAAATTTTTTAGTTTGATAAAAGATAGACAATCGGAAACAGGGAGGTAGGCCTTTTCTGATGAGTAGGGGACCTAGGGATGGAGGGAGAGGAGAAGGATGGAAAGAGAAATGAAGAAAAAAGGAGCAAGATGCTACATGTATATGTGCCAACTCCCTACAATGAGTGTATTCATTGTATACTATAAACATGTACTAATAAAATTTTTTAATTAAAACACATATTTTAAAATTTTCAGATAAGTTCTTTCTAAGTCACTAAATAGCCCAGGCTGGGCTCAGATTTATAATCCTGCTGCTCAGCGTCCCAGAATGCTGGGATTATAGGAATCATAGGTGAGTGCTACCACACCTGGCTCCATTTCACCTGTGTCTGTTCTATTCTTCTCTCCTGCTCTTACATTTTCACATTTGTTCTCTTCAAAGAGCCCAGACTGCAGCAGATCTTTCTCAGTTTCACTCCCACATTCGCAGAGAGCAACACCGGTGGCGCAGCTTGAAGCACTTGTGTACTCTTGGGCAACCAGGCATGCGCAGGGGTCAGGCCATGCCACAGAGCATGGCTCCTGGAAACTAATCCTTGGCGGGAAAGACAGTATTCAGGAGGAAGTGTTGGCAGATCACCCTGTAAGTTTTGACAGAGCGACACCACCATACAGGGCACCGCCCAGCTAGGCTATGCTCACAAGCCATTTTCCAGATGAGGGCTTGCCTAACCCTTTCCACTGAATTTACCTACAGTTCCCAAACACATTCAGATCTCTATTAATCCACGTGGTTGTACTGCCTCGTGTGCCCTAGGTCATGGACACTGAGTTGTTCTATTTGATCAGCTCTCCTCCTCCTTTTGGGAGCAGCTCTGCTCTTTGTAATGAATATCTGGATTTCAATGTGGCTCCTTAACCAATTGAACAACCTGCACCGTGGAGAGTTTTCTCACTTTATGGTTCCTCGTTAGGACACAGAACTTTCAATGACAGACATTTTTAAAATGTCCATTTCCCCAACCTCCAAAAGACAGCAAGTACCTGACCTAGGATTGAACAAACACATCCATGTCCCTGGATTTAACCTTGGAGGCTGATGACCCAAAGTGAGAGACAGTGGCAATGGTGACAGGGCCAGGAACAGCAGTGCCACTGGTACAAGCCTTCCCGACAGTGTCTGTGGTGCTGTCACCACCATGGCTTCAACACTGGGCTGCAGTGACCGTCGTGCCTGCCAGCCCAGTTCTGCAGGTGGTTAGGGAGTGGCTTGCTTCTGCCTATTTTCATAGTTCTTATTTTCTGGCTTTCCTGGTGGTGCAATGATTACCCCACATCTTCCCCCTAAATATTCTTCTTAAATCACCGGAATTGTTTTCTGTTGCTTCCAACCACATCCTGAGTGATAGTGTTCATCAGCTTTCTGTTGCCTAGCAAGTACCTGAGATAATCAACTTGTGAAAGAAAAGGTCTATTCTGGCTCAGAGCTTTAGAGGTTGTAGGATCGTTGGCCCTGCTGCTTTGGGCTGTAGTGGTCATCATGTCAGGAGCATCTGGCAGAACAAAACTGCTCACCTCATGGTCCGGAGGAGAAAAAGAAAGGAAGAGACAGGGGCCCTACAACCCCTTCAGACAGGGCTCCCCAGTAACCCAGAGACCTTCCAATAGGCCCTAATTCTTTTTTTTTTTTTTTTTCCAGTACCAAGGATTGAACCCAGGGCCTACACACTAAGTAATATCCTCAACATTTTTTTAATTTTTTGACAGGGTTTTACTAAATCACTAACTTGCCCAGGCTGGGTTTGCACTTGTGATCCTCCTGCCTCAGCCTCCAAAAGTGTTGGGATTACAGGCGATGCTACTACACCCAGCTTCAGCCCCTCCTCTGAAACTTCTGCTACCTCCCAGTAGTG